TTCATATGTTGTCATCATGTTCGGGGCGCTCTCTATTTCTAAGCACCCTTCCATAATTGCTTTTGAGAGACAGTAGCTCTCCTCAGTTTTATACCAGTTAGATATCCGCTCGCTCACTTGTCCGTTCCATCTGATTTTCTTGAGGCCTGTTCTGGGTGTTAGATCTGGTTGATATCTGTGTTGTGGTTTGGGTAGATCAAAGGGTAAATCACACACGAGGGATAAAGGTAGATGATGAGTTTCAGCTCTTGCTGTAATGGTGAATTTTGATATCCTAGGGATCAGGTCCTGGGAAACAATGCAATAATCTATCGTTGACAGTTTGTGTCCTGACCAATATGTGTATTGACCAGGATAATCTCCTTGTATAGCCCCATTCAATAGGTGTAGGTTCTGTCTGTAAGCCATCTGTGCTAGATGTAGTCCTCCCCTGTTGCATGTCTTATCGTAGGATGATCTTGTCATTAGGGGAGGGATAATTTCCGTTTCTGGAGGCCAATGGTGAAAATGTGTGTATAGGGCGTTGTCGTTGGGGCCCACTCTTGCGTTTAAGTCACCAGCTAGTAATATCATGGCTGACGGGTGTTGTCTCCTCCATTGCACCACGTAGGTTTTCACTTCTTTCCATACTTGTTCTACTTGTGTCTGCCGTCGGCATGTGGGTAAGTATAAGTTTATGCATAACAGTTTGACTTGTCCAAAATCTAAAACTGCTGCTACAGACCATTCATCATTGGAGGGTAATTGGGTAATATTAGCTTGTATCTGCGTTGAAAACAGTAAGGCTAAGCCTCCTTTGGGTCTGCCCCCTCTTTGGCTAGGTGTTGCTCTTTTTGTACACGAGTGGTAATTATCCAAGTAGAGCTCATCTGTCGACCAGGTTTCCTGGATGAACAGGATGTCAAATTTAGTGAGGAAGTCCATTAGGTTGGGATCTTTGCTTTTAGCTCCCCACCCTGCGATGTTCCACGTACAGGTGGTCAGCTTGTGATTTTTGATTGCTTCTGACTCACCTATAATGATACGATAATCTTTATTGTCATTGGCCCATACAGAACAACGAAATTGAAAAAATCTACATCAGACATTAAAAAACCAACAAGCCTGCTATCCCAGCCTGCTCTAACTTATGGATATTTGTTTTAAACAAATCACATTAACAGTATTTTTCTTTCTTTTATTCTGCTTTATCTTCTTTATGTAACTAAATAAAAATAAAGGATGGCATTCAGCTCAGTCCTACTCAGAACAGACCCCCTGAAGATGGCTTAACTGAATAACACCCATATTTTTTTAAAAAACAAAAACAAAAGCTGTTTGGAGTCACATTCCAGCCAAACCTAAAGCACCCAAGGTGTTTTAAGGAAGACGTGATATGTTTCTTGTTTTTCACCTTTTCTGATTCAATATCCCTTTTTCCTCACCTCCACATTTACTGTAGGAGCAGGATCATTAACCCAGGAAAAACTCAACACTGAGAATATGGTTCGGATGATTTGGGGTGGCCTCCTTCTCTGCTTCCTTGGGCTCTTGGTGGTAGATGTAAGTGATGCATTTCTTTAAAAAAAAATATTGCTTGGAAAAAGAGCAAAGGGAGATGTTGGGTGTCTTCCTCAGAATAGACCCTCTGAAGAAGGCTTAAATGAATAACACCCATTTTTTTAAAAAAGAAAACAACCCAAATACAAAAGATGGTTGGAGTCACATTCCAGCCAAGCTAAAGCACCCAAGGAGGGCACAGGGCAAGAGCCAGAGAGAGACATGGCCTGTGGAAGTTCTAGCAAAGCTAAAGGGACCCCTGACCATTAGGTCCAGTTGTGGCCGACTCCGGGGTTGCGGTGCTCATCTCACTTTATTGGCCGAGGGAGCCGGCGTACAGCTTCCGGGTCATGTGGCCAGCACGACTAAGCCGCTTCTGGTGAACCAGAGCTGCACACAGAAACGCCGTTTACTTCCTGCCGGAGCGGTACCTATTTATCTACTTGCACTCTGACGTGCTTTCAAACTGCTAGGTTGGCAGGAGCAGGGACCGAACAACGGGAGCTCACCCCGTCACGGGGATTCAAACCGCCAACCTTCTGATCGGCAAGTCCTAGGCTCTGTGGTTTAACCCACAGTGCCACCCGCGTCCCTAGTGGAAGTTCTAGAGGTCAAGAAAGAGAATTCTGGAGTGCCATGTTCTGCCCATACGCCAGAGGTTCCTCATTTGTTCCAAGCCAAGTGGCAAGGGGGAACCTGATTTCTATGTTGTGCTAGCAAACTGTTGCTGCAAAATAATCATTATGGGAACAGGGATCTTTACTAAAGCCTGCACAGCTTGAGGGCCAAACTCCACTCTTTTTATCCTAGCATTTTTGCACAGTGGATGGAAGCATCACTCAGGGAAGGAAGACTGTGGGCCATCCTGGGAAATCCACTATTGACTGGAGCTGATATGTCATGAATGATCCATCTGCTCATTTCATGAATCAAGGAGAGCAACAGGACACCTATCAAAAATTGGGAACTGTTGTCTACCCCATCTACCCCATTGCAGGGCTGCAGTTCTCAGCCACTCAAGTATCATGATCTGGAAGTAACCGAATATCTTGAATTGAAACAGGCATACGAATATGACTTCACCCGGCACCGTGAAGCCCTTAAGTTCAGGCAGCAGAGAGAGAACCAGTGTCTGGACTTCAGCTCTTAGACTCCAACTCCTAGCTGCCCCAGTCAGCTTGGCCAATGGTCAGGTATGAAGGGAGTTGTATTACAGCAAGATAGGCAATATTCATGTGTGCTCAAGTCACAACGAAGAAGTACAATTTCTAGGCACTCTAAAGGTCAGACTGTGCCCAAGAAGAATTGGCCATGGAACAGCCAGAGGGGTGGTAACCCTGGACTTAATCTTAAGTGGTACCCAAGGCCTGGTGTGAGATGTAAATGTTGTCAAACCAATAAGGACTAGTGGTCGCAGGGCTTTCAAATTCAATATATATGTAAATAGACAGTTGCTGAGAAAACCCAACACAGCCACTTTAGACTTCAAAAGAGGTGTAATGTTATTCACTCACTAAGGAAGCCCTCTGACCTCTCCATAGGGGTTATTTCGGTTCAAAATATGGTTAGGCAAGGAATTTTCAATGGCTTGTCAGTTCCCAGCTCCCATGTGACCCCACCTTTGCTTCTTGGTGAATCCAAAGTTCAACTCCTCAATTTTCTAGACCAAATAATGGGTGAGAGACTTTGTTGTCTTGCCTGCATAGAATTCTGAAGGAGAGAGCTTAATTCTTACCAGAGGCATAGTTCTCAAATCCTGCTTGCTCCAAGATCAGGTATTCCCTTCCCTTCCCTTCCCTTCCCTTCCTTTCCCTTCCCTTCCCTTCCTTTCCCTTCCCTTCCCTTCCCTTCCCTTCCCTTCCCTTCCCTTCCCTTCCCTTCCCTTCCCTTCCCTTCCCTTCCCTTCCCTTCCCTTCCCTTCCCTTCCCTTCCCTTCCCTTCCCCTTCCCTTCCCTTCCCTTCCCCTTCCCCTTCCCCTTCCCCTTCCCCTTCCCCTTCCCCTTCCCTTCCCTTCCCTTTCCCTTCCCTTTCCTTTCCCTTCCCTTCCCTTCCCTTCCCCTTTCCCTTCCCTTCCCTTCCCTTCCCTTCCCTTCCCTTCCCTTCCCTTCTTTTCAGTATAAGGCTATGAGAAATTGCACTGCTTATTTTCTAGGCTTTTTGGTAGTCAGGGATTCTTTGTGTGTAAATGCTTAATGATTATTTGCTGCCTGCATATTTTTAACCTTGCTGTCTGAAGCAGCACCTATATATGCTGTCTTTCTTCATGTATGTTCAATAAATCAATCTTTTTCTTCTACCTGGTGTGACAAGTTCTTCATTGGGTATATGGGCTAAAGGTATACACATGTTTTTAGCAGATGCACAAGCTGACTCCACATAAAAGTTTCCACCCTCCCAGAGCTGTGCATTGAGTTCATGCCTGTGGTGAACACATATGTGGAATCAGATGTACACTGCCTAACAGGTACGTAGTTAGGGTCAAATCTTTCCAAAATGTTTGGGAGCTGTATAAAAGCTCAGCTATAATGTATACTGCAGGGCCAGGAGTTAGCCTTATGTGGTTGATAAGCAAAGTGTGTGTGTGTGGAGTATTAGAGACACAAAGGCTTACGTTAGAAAATGAAAGCCTTGTCCAAATGAAGAGAACAAAAAGGAACACAAATTTTGCCTAAAAACATGCAAGAGGACAATAAGGGATGCAAAAAAATAATTTGTGGAGCACATTCCTAAAAACCTGAAGACTAACAACAATGAAAGAAATGAATGCAAGTTGCACAAATGGTGTTAAATAGTAGACAGTAAGATGAATATTGTAGCCAGTGTGGTGTAGTGGTTAAGGGCAGTAGTCTCGTAATCTGGTGAACCAGGTTCGCGTCTCCGCTCCTCCACATGCAGCTGCTGGGTGACCTTGGGCTAGTCACACTTCTTTGAAGTCTCTCAGCCTCACTCACCTCACAGAGTGTTTGTTGTGGGGGAGGAAGGGAAAGGAGAATGATAGCTGCTTTGAGACTTAGGGTAGAATAATGTTAGCCGCTTTGAGACTCCTTAGGGTAGTGATAAAGCGGGATATCAAATCCAAACTCTTCTTAAATACATTAGTATCAGGTGACTGCCTAGTGAGGTGGTTCTTTGAGAGCGTCAACATGCATATAGACAGACGAGGTTCAGTTGATATTGTGTGCTTGGACTTTTAAAAAGCTTTTGACAAAGTAACTCACCCAAGATTATTGAATAAGTTTAGCAGTCATGGAGTAAGAGGCAAGGTCCTCTTGTGGATCAGTAACAAGTCAAATAGCAGGAAACAGAGGGTAGGATTAAATGGACATAGAATTGCAGAGTTGGAAGGGTCCCTGAGGGTCATCTAGGCCAATTCCCTGCAATGCGGGAATCTCAACTAAAGCATCCATGACAGATGACCACCCAACCTCTGCTTAAAAACCTCCAAGGAAGGAGAGTCCATAACCTCCTAGGGCAGCCTTTCTCAACCTGTGGGTCCCCAGATGTTGTTGAACTACAACTCCCATCACCCCTAGCTAGCCAGAGCTCAGGGATGATGGGAGTTGTAGTCCAACAAGATATGGGGACCCACAGGTTGAGAACCGCTGTCCTAGGGAGACCAAGCATGCAGAAAGTGATCAGGGGGTAGCCAGCAGAGTGCTTGTGTGCTGTTTCTCCATCTGTTTCCAGGCCTTGCTATTGGCTGTCAAAAAATAGCAGGGGAAGAAAGAGAGAAAGAAAGCTAGAGAGAGGGCGAGAAGTAACTCGCCCTCCTCTGAAGTCTTGGAAGGAAACTGACGCAAGGGATTTGAATGCTCAGGCAGCTGGGCTGAAAGTCTGCGCTACAGCCCTGTCCTACCCTCTCATTGGTTTAAAGTCAAGGGTCACCAGCAAAGGGTCTAGAGAATCACACGTCGCCCTCCAAGTTCATTGTCCTCTCAGTTGCCCCATAGGAAAGCATGATGCAAACTTTTGCAAACATGTTTTCTCCTGCCGTACACCTGCGCAAACAGCCGCAAAGAGAGCGTGAAACTTCGAGGATGTGATTATATCTCCCCTGCAATTATCAAAAACATTGTGATTGATTTGTGTTCTCATAGGGTTTTCCAGAGGTCACTTTTGAGATCAGTAATAATAATAATAATCAGAATCCAGAATCACTGATCATTCTTTTTGCCAAGTACGGAAACAGAGCAACATAAATATATATACTGAGCTATTAAGAAGGAGGGCTGGGAGTTAAACCATCAGAGGTGGTAGGCTAGTCTGAAATTTGTTTCTCTGTTAGCACCAAAGCCAGCCCCGAGCTCCTCCTCTGAGAAGTCAGTTACAGGATGAAGATTTTGTGTATCCTTCCTAGCAAATGCTTCTGTCCTTGCTCTGAATATCATAAAATCAGTTGAAGGAAGTTCTCACTTGTTTGTGCCTAAAATGATCCTTCTGTTAGTCTTGCTTCATTTGCCAGTTGAGGTAGCAATGATGGAAGATCTAGATCTGTCAGACCTACGGACATCTTCAAATAATTATTACAGTCCAGGGGATTACATCATTGCTGGAGTTATACCTGTGAGGACCGCTCTGTATCCAAAACATGCTTTCAGGTCTGACCCTGTCGGTGACTTCCTCCCGTAAGTGCTATTTGCTCATAGCTTTCGATTTTTCTCAGCCAATTCTTATCTTTCCTGTATACAGTCTATATAGAGAGTGAGCAGCAGATTCTTAAGCTCCATAGTTGAGCAGAATGGTTTGAAATGTGACTGGGACAGTAGGAGGCTCACCTGCAGATATGAAGGAAATTTGCCCCAAAGTTGTAGGGTCTCTACCCTAGCACTGCTTTACTCCATCAGCTTGAGTGGCTTCTTGTCACATCTTCTGCAAATATCCATTTTAATACACTGTTTAAACTGGTCAACATTCCATTTGTTTTCCATCCAGAGTATTGCAGATGAACTACCAGCATGTTTTGGCCATTTTGCTTGCCATTAATGAGATCAATGAAAATCCCAAGCTCTTACCTAATATCACCTTAGGCTACAATATCTTTGAGAACTGTTTCAGTGTCAGGATAACCTATGAAGCCACAATGGACCTCCTCTCAACTGGGCATTGGATGGTCCCTAATTTCAGGTGTGGGCAACATGGAAAGAACCTGGCTGTTATTCAAGGAGGGGACTTCGAAACTTTTCTTCAGATGTCAACCATGCTAGACCTCTTCAAGATCCCCCAGGTATGGAGAACGGGGGGACCTGTCAGAGCAAATCTCAGATGCAACTTTTTAAACTTGAAAGCTTTCTCATAAAATGTGAGGGTGGTATAAAAGCAATATAATATTAAAAAGCAGAACAAAACAATAATGAAAATCACTACTCAATTTTTTAAAAGTTGTGATAAGCACATGTACTCTCACACTTCACATTCTGTGTGATACAGAAAAAGAATATAAATTGTTAAAAATAGAGTAAAAGTAGTTAAGTTTGAAAACGTTTATACACAGTGCAGCTGATACCAACTTGTTGCACCACACAGATGGATGGTTTTTTGCATGCACACACACACACACACAAAATTGCCAATGGAGCCAAACGTACAGTGAATGAAAATAAATGCCGATGATCCTAAACCCACTTACCTGGCAGTAAGTCCAAAAAAATTCAGTGGGACTTAGATCTGAGTTTGAGTGGAAGCTATTTTAGGATGGCAATCTCTCTTGTGGGATGGATTGAGTAGGTAGAGGAGGATATATTAATTACAAGTTATCTCTCCTGGCAGCAGTGGGGTTGAAGAGAGTTGTGAAATCCCATCCTTGGCAGCAAAATTAAAAGCATGAGAACTAGGCTATACAACCTTGTTTTGAGCAAGTCCAGCTAACCAACTATGTATTGGTTTCCCCCTTCTCTCCCTGATTAACCACAACACAGAACCACAACACAGACTGTAAAGTAAATGAAAGATAGTGTTTACTTATTTAATTTCTTGCACTCATTTTCAACAAACAGCAGGAGCAAAAATAATGCCGGTAAAAATACTTCCAGGTTACAAAATACAGTGGTACCTCGGGTTAAGAACTTAATTCGTTCTGGAGGTCCGTTCTTAACCTGAAACTGTTCTTAACCTGAGGTACCACTTTAGCTAATGGGGCCTTCCACTGCTGCCACGTGATTTCTGTTCTCATCCTGAAGTAAAGTTCTTAACCTGAGGTACTATTTCTGGGTTAGCGGAGTCTGTAACCTGAAGCGTCTGTAACCTGAGGTACCACTGTACATAGTTGAATTCTAAAATGGAGTCTAAGCTGAGGAAGAGCGTAAACATCCATCCATCTCCATTGAAGACATGGTATAAAAGGAAAAAGAGCCAGTGAGCAACAGGAAGGAGAAGGGTTTCAATCTTTCTTTTCTTTCACCTTGAAACCACACAGAGCTCTCTCTCTACCAGTTGCATTACTATGTTCTGAGTCTGCCTATCTAGAAATTTACAGCTCTGTGGTTGTTAGCCTCTAGGCTTACTAATTAACAAGAATATACATTCTTAGATTTTTGGCTGCAAATCTCCCACAATCTCTGGACATTATTTCCAACGCTAAACATTGTTTCCTTTCCTTTCCAGCTCACTTACGGTTTTGTCAACCATATTCTGAGTGACAAAGCTCACTTTCCCTCTTCCTACTGGATGAGCCCAAAGGAAGCTCCACAGTACAGGGGGATTTCTATGCTCTTGCTGCATTTTAGGTGGACATGGGTTGGTCTGCTTGCTCCAGACAATGAAGGTGGAAATCTATTTGTGAGAACGATGAAGGCGATGCTCTTTAGGGATGGCATATGCGTAGCCTTCACCTTTGGGATCCCACAAATATTTTCTGACCTTCGTGTTTCAAAGAAGACACTTTTAAGAAGCCTAGCACTTCTTTCACAGAGGAAGGCCAACGTGATTATTTATTATGGAGATTCTGACACAATGTTTCTGTTGCCACATGCGCTGTACAGAGTTGAACTAGAAATCAGTGCCCCGGTAGGGAAAGTTTGGATCTCTACAGCTCTGTGGGGCTTCACCTTAAGCACATCTTTTGAGTACTGGGACATCATATTCTTCCATGGTGCATTGTTCTTCAGCATCCAAACGAAGAAGGGTTCAAAATCCCAGGGCATTTTCCTGACTCAAGATGAAGATTCCTTCGATCAGATTTGGTCAGAAATATTTGATTGCTCTCATTCCAAACACAGATGGTTAAGAGAAACCTGGGAAAGGTGCATGGGGAAGGGGAAAATGGAAGCAGTTTGGCTTGGGAAAGGCATGTCTGCGGAGATCTATGTTGTTTATAGTGCTGTCTATGTCATGGCACATGCCTTCCATGCTCTGATGACATCTGCATCTAGCCGTGTGATGACTACAGAACAAGGCAGATTGGACCTTCTGAACATAGAGCCATGGCGGGTGAGAGAGGGAGGGAGACAAAGAAAACTAGCCACCTATAGAGGTGGTTCCTCACTGTGCTTGTGCTTATTATCTGTTGTATCCTCGCTTATTACTTCCAAATCAGTCACTGCTTGGTAGGGTGGGGAATGTCACTCTGCTACATCTTGTCATTGGACGTGATCCTTTGGTTCACTCCTGCTAGGCAGTTCGAATCCCCACGACGGGGTGAGCTCCCGTGGCTCGGTCCCTGCTCCTGCCAACCTAGCAGTTCGAAAGCATGTCAAAGTGCAAGTAGATAAATAGGTACCACTCCGGCGGGAAGGTAAACGGCGTTTCCGGCTTAGTCATGCTGGCCACATGACCCGGAAGCTGTCTGCGGACAAATGCCGGCTCCCTCGGCCAATAAAGCGAGATGAGCACCGCAACCCCAGAGTTGGTCATGACTGGACCTAATGGTCAGGGGTCCCTTTACCTTATCCCTTGTGAATATTCAGGAAGGTTAGCTGAGCAGGACTTATAACCAGGGTTTAGTGTTCCACCAGTTATTTATAATTTCCATTTTATACAGCTTAGAGAGGGAGAGAGAGAGGGAGAGAGAGAGAGAGAGAGAGATTACAGCTCCATGTCCTTCCATGGAGGACTCCATGGAAGTTTTGTTTAAAGCAGTGGTGTCCAAAGTTGGCCCTCCAGCTGTTTTTGGGACTACAATTCCCATCATCCCTGACCACTGGTCCTGTTAGCTATGGATGATGGGAGTTGTCGTCCCCAAACAGCTGGAGGGCCAACTTTGGCCACCACTGGTTAAAGTGAAGGTTCTTACTACCACAAAAAAATAAAATAAAATTGAGAACCACTGGATTAGTTTTTGCAACCCTGTTGTGCATGTGGGTTGGGGGAGGAGGCAAAGGATCTCCTGCTTCCCTTTCTTCCCTCCCCAGCACATGTTCAATTAGAGTTTAAAACACTTGGGGCTGGCTTTCAAATAGGTTTGGAGATTGGCTCAGGGTTGGATAGGGGCTGATCTGAAGTACCAGATTGGGCGCCATCTTGGATTGAGAGGGGAAGGTGCTGGTGTGCACAGTTCTATTAAATAGTTTATAATCAATTTAAACATTCTACTGTTATGGTGGAACATGTTTTTAAACTAATATTACTTCAAGAGAAATGGCTATAGTAAAGGTAAAGAGACCCCTGACTATTAGGTCCAGT